TCCAGTGGAGGAGTGTTTGTCCCATCCCAAAGCACTGTTCTCCAAATGGTGGTGGTCTAACTGGCCATGAAAATGCCTCTGGGGCAAAGATGCTTCTCCCTTTGCAACTTTTTGTCCTGTCCTGAATAAATGGACTCTGTAAAACGGAACAGACTTCACTGATTGGTTTACAACCAGTCTCTGTTCTCAAGCTTTCCTCTAAAACAGAGGTTGATAACTTTTCTTTTCCTTCAGTGGAAGCTGTAAATATCATATTGTCACAAGCCTAAGGTATTTATGCCTCAAGTTTATAGTTCTGAGCCAAAATCTATGCTTTAATCCAGCTCTGGCTCATGGAAATGTTCCAGTGAGAATTAAAATTCCTTTGCTCGTTAATATCTCAATTTTTATTTATTCCTAATTCTTTTCAATGAAAGATGATGAAACAGGACTATAATGACATAACAATTCTATCTGGTCAAGGAATTAGTAATGATATTTTTTTTTACCTACATAAACACCCTTGAGACATTTTTTCATATCCACCTGCCTTTCATAGACCTGCTGGAAAATGTAGTAACCTACTCAGTATACTCTCAGGGTGGTTTTAAATATTAATAAGGCAGGGAAAATGCACGCAGTAGTTAGGCTATTTTCAGAAACTTAAAATTGAAACCCAAGACCTAGAAGCAGGAAGCAATTTGGTCTCAGAGTTTAATGACAGAACACAGCAGAGACTCCTGGATACAAATTTAACTGCAACAACAGTTGCAGTTATTTAAAAAACCCTTTGCAAATGTTGCCCTGTTTTCCTAAAATCCTTGTTCTAACTAACATGACTTCTATGGGTTGGAGAACTTAAACTGCTCAAACACTCAACTAGTTGCCTTCTCAGTGAAGGGAGAACAAAAATGGTAAAGGAGTGGGATTGGATAATGGGAAAGGTTTGAAAGCCTGTTATGCAGAGGGTTAATATGGAAAATCTCAGATTTTATTCTGGTCAGATATCATGGTTTAGCCCCAGCTGGCAAATAAGCACCACACAATCTCTCACTCATTCCTCTCCTGCAGCAAGATGAGGGGAAGAGAAATGGAAGTCTAAAGGAGATAAAACTTGAGGGGTTGAGAGAAGAGCAGTTTCATAATTGAAATATTTTTTTCTTTCTATTAATATAACATTTTTAAATCATAAATTGTCATGAAAAGGAAGGTGACAAAGACATAAATCCCACGACAGACAAGTGATGCAAATAAAACCAGTTGGCCATGGCTGACCACCCAAAGCCCAGCCAGCCCCTTCAGCAGTGGCCCCTGGTACCAAATTTCCCCAGCTGTTACTGCAGAGCCTGATGTCAGTGGGGAACATCCCTTGGGTCACCTGGGGTCAGCTGTCCCTGCTGTGTCCCCTCCCAACTCCTTGCACCCCTCCAGCCTCCTCATTGATCGGGTGGGGAGCAGAAAAGGGTGTAAAGCCGTGCTGGGCAATAACTGAAACATCTCTGTTTTATCAGTACTCTTTCCAGCACAGCCCCACACTAACTACTATGAAGAAGATAAATTTTACCCCAGCCAAAAGCAGCACATCAGAGACTCAAAGATATGTGATTCCAGAAATGTGCTTTCATTCTCAGATAATATAAAAGTTTTCATTGTGGCTGCTTAAATATTTGAACACCTTTGAAAGATTCTCTGTGTGTGTATTTCTATCCATTATAATGAATAAAATACCTTTCTCTCCTTTTTTCTCATATTTTTTCCCCAAGGGATTTAAATTTGGCATTGGATTTCTTTTCAACTTCAACGTGTTATATCTCATATATGGACCTACATTTCTCTCAGGAACTTCTTTCCACTTTTCAAGAGTTATGTCTGGATCTGGAAGAAACTTCCAGTCATAAAGATCACTCTTTATTTCCTTCCTTCTCATTTTTGTGCATTTTTTATATCACTGTCTGTCTTTTTCATCTTTTTGAAGGCTTACTGCCTTCCTTTTGAAGCTGGTTTTGTTCTTTGAACTATACAAGAATTCACTGCTTTTGATACCTTTCTTCTTTTAAACTATTCTGTAATTTAGATTGCTTTCAGCACATATTTTATTTGAAATAGTAGTACACAACTACATTAACAGGTCAAGAAAACATAACACTCTGAACGTTATTTACTTGTTTTCTTTAGTCTTCTTTGCTCCTTATTCCAACCATTCATATCCATTGGACACTTTGTTATTGGCAAATCACTCTCTGCTTTGGCCTGATCCCTTGCATTATCCACTTGTCATTTCAAAGCTATTGTGTTTATGACTGTTGCCATGAGGTATTAGTTATTTGATGGAATCTTCTGTCTACTTGGGTAACTCAACTGAATGACCAGTTTACTTGTTGCATTTGGTATAATTCTGATGTTATTGTCAACATAATTTTGATTTTGCAATCAAAGCTTCTATCATTGAATTGCCTTTGCCTGCCAGATGTGATGAGGCAGATTCACTATGAAGAAACACTTCCTCAAGCTCCTTCTTCACACCTTTTATTTAAAGGTGCATTTTCTTCTTGTTTCTGGCTTTGTGCTCCTGCTTCTGATGCTGCTCAGCTTCTCCAGGTCTCACAGAGGCCTTTTCTGAGTCCATGTCCTGTGTCCTATTCCAGTGTTCCTAGCACTTGAGCACTAACACCTTTTCTTGTTCAGACTGTCTGTTGTCACCTCTTTCCCTGTGATTCCCCTGCTCCCAGTGGAAGTCAATGGAAGCAACATTTTAGGGTCAGTGCTTTGTCGTGCTTTTCCAAAGGCTCCAGGTCACAGTCAGCCTCGTACCTGGATTTCCTCGTGAAATTTTCTAAGAAAGACCACTTATTTAGTCAGCAACTCTCTGAAAGGGAGGTGAATGAGTGTCTCAAATATGTTTGATGGTTTGAAAGGGGGGCTGACCAATGGAATTATAATCCCTTTTACATTGTCAAATGTTCCTGGAAAATATGAGGAAGTTGAGGCTGACGGAATTGCTAGTAGAGTTGAATTATTTTATCAATCTGGGCTGCATATCCATGGCCATAAGTCTGTGAGACAAACATAATATTGCTCTTTAACAGCCACTATTCACAGCCATGGCTGTTACCCAACAGTGGCATGCACCTGCAGCATTCATATGTACTTCCCTACTATATGGACCATCACATTAAATGCCAAGGTTTGATTTGACACCTAACTTTAGATCACATATGTTGTCTGACACTTTTTGTAAAAACATTTTTGCCTACAGCAGGTAAGAGCAAACTGCATTGAGCAATGGGGAATCCAAGTATGAGTTTCACTTTTAATATTTATTTTCTTTATTATTTTTTCTTTTATTTATTAGTTATGGAAATACTACAAGTTAGTAAGAAATGTGGCTTTTCCTAGACTAGACCCCACCTCCACTAAATAACAGCCTTTTAAAAGAGACAATTTTAAGACAGTGCTGGAAGTACTTTTCTGCTGCTTTTCCATGTAAAGAGTACAAGGCAAAGGAAAACCAGGAATAGAGATGGTTCATTGACAGGAATTCAGATCATAGGCTGTCTGCAGGCAGATGCCCGAAGTCACAGCAGTGCCACAATGGAGACCTTGGTGTCTGTGCACTTCAGAAACTCCAGAATAGTTGTCACCACCCTGGTAAAATAGATTCTCTTACAAATAAGTTCTTTCATGGAAGATATGAATCTCATCCTTAGTGACACAGAGACCCATTTAAGCACCAAAATAACTTCTTTTGAGTGAGGGTGGCAGACTCAATCATGGTGTCATAATTGCAGATTGCCAGTAGAAGCCAGTCACTTTCAGGCAATTTGGTGAGAAAGAAGAATCCCTGGTCAGGAGATTTTTTTTCCCTTTAAAAAATGGCTCCTTTAGATGGCAATACAGATTATGGCTTTATTTGCATGCCCCAGATCCACCTGATGATTGGGTGGATTCTTTCTTCTATGTGGGTGATATAGGGAGTCTTGTGAGCTTAGTCCTAACTTGGGCAGCCTATCAAACATGTACATTAAAACATACTCTTTGTCAAAATTTCACACAGTGCATGGTCTTCTCAGGTACTGGTAACTCTAAGGAACTACCCGTGGTCACTGTGCAGTTCAGAGCTCTGAGAAGAACAGAAAACCTGAGAAAACACTGAGCTCATGGTCCTAATACCAGTTCCCTGAAGCAGTGCCTATACCAGGAGTGCCAGGGCAGTGGCAGGCAGCCATCTACACTGACAATCCCTGGGGGGGTCCCTGGTGCCATTTTCATTATTCTCAAACAGCTGCCTTTCAACAATTCCCATGCATGAAGGAGTCATCACAGCCTTCAGCCAGACTGCATGGAACCACTCACCTTGAAAGTAAACTATTGTAGAATTATGGACAAGGCCTGACCACAGAAATATCTTGGCACTCTACAGGTAATCCTGACATTCCTAGGGGTGACGCTGGAGTATCCAAACAGAAACCCCTTGAGATTCACTGCTTACAAGGAAAATTCAAATTTTGCAAGACTAACATTCACTCATAATAACAAATTCATCCTACTTTTTGTAATCTGTTTTTGTCTGAGTATAGACCATTTTCAAGTTTTACTTATAGCCATGGTCAAATTTTAATAAAAATCATTGTATCCAAATCAGAGCATACACATGTCCATGAATTTATAAAGCTGATCTACAATATTTCAGTAAGTAATGGGCTCTCCACCTTCCCTAATAAACACAAATATAGACAAACCCTACACTCCCCATCTGTCACCAATTCTAAAGGCTCTCACTATGACACTTTCCACTGATTCAAGATATGAAATAAAGATAGGAATATTTTCTGGGGGAAATCATGGAAACCTTGGAAGATCATCTTAAAACCTCTGGGAAACAGAAATTCAGAAGCAGAAGGAAATGCTAGGTCCTCAGCCATTCCTGATGTTCCTCAACACAACTCTGTTGTTCCTATTGACAGAGGAATAATTTCAGCTTGAACTGAGATAAGGCAAACCTGCTCCTTTTTTTATTGCAGTATCCCTGAAGGTCTTCTCATCTTCCCAACCTCCTACTTGATTTTCACCTTCCCATTTCTGGTCTATTGTCAAGAGGCACAGATTTCCAGCTCCCAGGCTGCATTGACTGTCTTGATCAAGAGATTCTGCTTCAAAAGACTGTGAGAAAGGTTTGAAGATTTCACCTCCTGAGGTAACTATCAGGGCTGGATAAAATTTTTAGTCATACCTCAAACTTTGTGTCTAAGGGTTGGGTTTTATTTTTAAAAAAAAAACCTTTAACATGACTTAGTGAAATTTAATAATTGTCTCTGTAACTGGCCCTGTGTAGTAAAAGAAAAAATATGTTTAATTTAGTGCTCATTTTGAAAAAAACCTGTATGTAGTGTTGCATTTTACTATGCAAAAACCAAAATTATCTGGAAAGTTCTGTGCTAAACCAGCTTTGTCTTCAGATGAAGACTTTGCTACATTTTTTACAGAATCTGTTTCCTAATCTCATCACATGGTTGCTCAAAGAATTGTGATGAAAACATTAAGTTCCCTACAGAAAGATTCAGGGGTCTCTGTGCTCAGGGAACAGTTCTGAGTATCTGAAATCTGTCATATTAAGCATAGTTCATGCCATAACAAAGGGCAAGAACTTCATGAAGTGATCATAATGTGGTGACTTCCAACAGTCAGAAATATCTTTGCTTCCCATTACTTGAATCTGAAAATGTTTAATTTACAAACAGAAATGGCAGTCTAGAAAAATTTCAAAAATTCATGAGCTGTTTCTCTGTGAGCACTCTCAGGTATCTCAGCAGTTCATATTCCCCTGCTTCCCTTCATCCCACTGAGCTGCCAGCTGGGCACCTCATGGAATCCACAGCCTGTCCTGTCTGACAGCTCCCTGGGAGATGGAGCAGACTGACACACTGCCTTTCTCTGCTGTCTCTGTCTCTCTCTGACATATCTTAAACACTTTTTTGTTCCTAGAGTTAGTTCTTAATCATGGACTTGCAATCCACAGAGATTGATCCTTCCAGAGCCAAGTGGGCCAGTCTATTTCTTTTTAAAATCTTAAGTAAATAGTGTATTACCTTTTTAAAATCTTAAGTAAACAAGATCTCAGTACAGGAAAATTCCTTTCCTCCACAGCAGAAAAGTCAACTTGAGAAGCACAGGTAATGGGGAATAATTAATGACTTTAAGTACCATTGTTGAAGGAAAGGAGAGTAACAGATACACTTAGTAGAAAAAAAATCAAATTAGAGGGAAATTGGCTGTAAATAAATGTAAGATACAAATTAGAATAAAATGTTTGTCTTCATCTTTTCTCACCTAGATATTGAATATACTAAGACATTATTCTCAACTACTTGGCTAATGCCTTATCTCCAATTTTATGTTTTCGATTATTGATTTTCTATTCTAATTTTTATATTACTTATTTATGTTTTCTAATATGTATTTCACACTTGGGAGTTGCTGATATTCCAGTTTGATGTAAAAGCAGGAGCTTAGATTTTCACAACAAAAACATCTACATTGATAATCCCAAGGAGACCCAAACCCACTGAATTCTGCAGATAATCTAACATGACATGAATCATTCTTACTTTGGTTCTTTAGCAAGCAAATATAGTGTAGAAAATTATCTACCTGAACAAAGCTGATATCAATAATCTAAAAGGTGGGATGCACATGATTTTTATTTTATTTATTTATTGCTGATACTCAAATTAATCACTTAGGCTTCCCCTTTCATCCCTGAAGTGAGATTTTGGCTTCTGAAGGCTGAGCAATGTTGAAGACACACCTTAGCACAGGATGGCCCCTCTAGAATACTGATGATAGGTGAACTGTATTTCACTGCATGGGTACTTTTTGTAGAATGCAAACTAAAATGAAATGAAGTGGTCAATTATGATTGTTGAAATATGTAGTGGGGAGTTAAGAAATATTTAACTATTAATTTATTCTAAGCAAAAACATTTTTTTTAAAAAAGCTTACAGTAAAACATTTTGAATGCCTTTTTTAAAGGCCAGAGTATTTATGTAGTGTTTTTTTTAAATGCAGTTGTTTTTAAAATATAATAACCCACAGATCAAGCATAACATTCAACTGTCCTTTTAAAAGTTCTATGTTGTGAAACACTTGTCAAATTAGTTTGTTTCCAGTTAATTAAAATTAAATATAACCAGACCAAAACATTTTCTAATTTGCAGCTCTGCTCCTTAAATCAGTATTTTTGAACAATATGAACTGTCTGGTTTAATTAACAGGGAATAAGACTCTTGAGTTTGGTCCTGTATCACATCTTGTATAAAATAGTGTTTCTAATCCTGCATTAATTTACTCTCCACCATGACTAGCGCAGTTCAAAGACAAAAATTAATATTTTCAGGGCTTAGCTATGCACAGTTATCTTTTAATCTTGATTTCCACCCACGCCACAGCTCCCCAAGCAAGAGGATTAAGAAAATAGGACAGGGAGTGCATTACTGTCATTGTGCTCCAATGCATATGGAAGATATTGGAGGATAATACAGCACTTTATCTAACCTCAGCCTGCTCCAAAGTACACTCACCAAGTCACATTTTAATGCCCCTCTATGGATGCTATTATTTTGTCCTTGCACAGTCCTTGACAGCAAAGGGAAATGGTCTGTGAATTTTGACATCCAACTGTTACAAAGAGAAGTGAGCTCAGACATAAGAAGGATTTTAGGATTTTTCCCATTCCTACCCACACAGCTCCTCCAGACCAGTCCTTAGGTGAGTCATCTCAGTGGGGTTGGTGTGAGAACAGGGTTGGAAAATGTCACTTTTGCAGATAACAATGTAAAGACTGGTGCTATGTTCATGTTATATCTCACTGGTAAGATACTGATGCTCTGCATCTGCAGATGCTGTGGTGGCTGTATGTGCCTTTTGGAGTGGCTAGCACTCCTATTCCATGGCCAGTCACAATGTTTGGAAACCAGAAGTGAATTTCCCTTGGATTGGTAATGCAGTGCTGACAGTTGCCATCCTATCACCACTGGCTCGGTGGTTTGTGGGAGACAGTGGGGTCAGACACCCAGTAACTGGTTCCTCTCCAGATTTTCTCTCTAAAACACCATTTTCACAAAGTTCATACCTGTCAGGGAAAATGAGTAAACTCCATGACTGGGCCTGTAATAATTTTGGTTTTTTTGTATTGTTATGCTAACATGCAATTCAACAGACGCCTTACTGGTGGAAGTAGGCAAAAAAAAAAAAAGATGGAGGAAAAGGGAGGAACACCATAAAATTGTGTTCATGTTAGAAAAATGACTATGTTCTTTGTTTACACTTTCACTGTTGTCAGTGGCACATCTTCCTGCTGCCACCTGTGTGGAGCAGAGTTCAGATGCTAAATCTCATTAAATTTAACTACAGCTTCCTAAAATTCTTCTTCCTAGAATTCCACTCAGTGAAATGTTTAATGAAAGACAAGTTCTCATTATTGTTTGATTCTTTGAAGTTGTTGTTCTACTGAAATATATCTCTATCAATAAATAAAAAATTAACTCTTATGCCAGTATGGTCCATTAAAAAACTGATGCAGAACTGTAACCACATTGCCCAACAAATGGATTCTGCACATTCAATCACATTGCAAAAAGCGAAAAAGATGTTATTTGGAAAAAGAACAAAAAAGGAGTGACAAAGTTGGTTTGCAAAGGACATTGAACCTGAGCATTTTTGTTTTTGTATTTGGACATATGACCATCCTAACAGAAATGGAGAATGTAAGTGATTGTCCATTTACACATTCTTAATTCAAATAAAAAGGGAGATGATTTTTTTTTTCACTGATATTTTGGGCTAAGTCACATCACAAGGCATGATAGATGCAGAAATTATTTTGTTGCAGTTAATCATTGGCAGCATTTGCTGTGCCACAGTCATTATCTTGTCTGATTTCAAGTTCCTATTACAGAAAAGTCTGGTTTAACCTTTGTGTTGTATCTGCCAGACCATGGAGGACGTCTCAGATACCTTGAGCCACTTTCAAGTAGTGCTAAGTATTAAATGCAGCTGACTGAATTGAGTCCTTACCAACAGCTGCAAAAACACAAGTAATTTATTACACCAAACCCTACTAAATTTGCATAAAATTAGAGAAACCTCTTTAATTATATGAAAATCCAATTATTTTCAGTACTTCTGCTTTGTTAAGCAACAGATTTATTTTTTTTCTTAATTGAAAGAAAATACTGCAAAGAAAGTGTGATTTAGCACCTTCAAAAAGTACATACAGGTTGATAATTCCTGAAGCTTTTACAAAAGACTTTGGTCTTTTCAAGTATGCTCCTTGGATACTTCATCTATTTTTAAATCCCTCTAATGCATTGTCTTCACAGGAAAAAATGCCCTCTTTGTGATCTACACTTAACCACAGCATGCAGGAGCTTGGACCTGATAATAACCATAAAAATAGGCTATTGTGTCAGAACTGTGATACAGTTATTCCACTATTTTATCTCTGACAGTGGCCAACAGTGACTGTCTGGGAGGTGGCATTATGCAGCAAATACTAATACTTCCCAAAACCACTCTCCTTGCCTCCAGCAGTTTATAGAATCAGAGATCCATTTAGATGACTCAGTGACTTCCAGAAACAGACAGCTGTCCTTGTAAATAGCAGCCTGGGAAGATCCTGTATGAAAGCTGCTGCATCCTGTATGAAAGCTGCTCTTTTCATATTTTTTTCAATTTTCTACTTGCTAGTTTCCTTTTAGTTCATTTCTATTAGGCAGTTTGGTTTTGTACCGGAAAAGACAACAATAAGTTTATCCCCATCCATCTTCTTTAGGACCCCTATGATTTACAGGTCTCAGTAATATCAGTAATACTCTCCTGAACTGTCTGTTTGCAGGTTGAAAAAACCTGCCCTACACAGAATGCAGAGCCTTTTCCAGACCTTTCATCACCTTTTTTTTTTTCCTAAAGAGTTTCTCGCTCCTTTTTTTTTTTTTTTTTTTTTTTTTTTTTTTTTTTTTTTTTTTTTTTAGTTAAAAAGTTGGGCGAATGAGAATATCATAGCCTTCAGATGACATGGACAAACTGTGGACCAGTGCAGGGGTATAGTTTTTTTTTTAACTTATTTTTTCCTATAATCCTGAATATTCCACTTGCTTTATTGACATGGCTTATCTGTAAGTTAATATTTTGACAGA